TTTTTGAGACAGGGTCTTGCTATGCCGTTCAGGGTGGCCTTGAGCTCACTTTGTAGCCCAGGCTGGTCTCGAACTTGCAATGATCCTCCTGCCTCAGCCTCCCAAGTGCTGGGAGTACAGCATGCGCCACCACGCCTGGCTTTAAGCTCCAGATTTGATAACTATGCTTGGCAAGATCTACCTGAACACCAGGTAAGTGGAATCATAAAGCTAACATGCGCTCTCCTTCTGGAAAAGGAACTTGGGGCCAGGCATAGTGCTGCATGCCTATAATCCCAGATACTCAGGCAGCTGAAGCAGGAGAACCACAAGTTTGAAGATATAGCCTGGGGAAATTATGAAGAACTTGTCTCAGTGGGTCAGGGGAATAGCTCAGCAGCACAAGTGCTTGCCTGGCAAGCACAAGGTCCTGAGTTTGATTTCTGGTACCCAAGAAAAAAGAAGACTTTGTCTCAAAACAAAATTTAAAAAAGTTTTGGGGATATAGCTGAATGGTAGAGTACTTGCCTAGCATGTGCATGGGAAACAAAAAAAGAACATAAAATAGTTACAAGAATTTGGATCCAATCTTCAAAGTAGCAGAGGGCCTATGCCTAAAAAGATCATAATTTACATCATGAAAGTCAAGCAGTCGCTATTTATAATTAGAAAAATCTTAGCTAGGTTTAAGATATCCCCCCAATTACAAAGACAATACATACCTTGAGTAGAGCAGCACAAAAGGGCTTTAACAAGCTCTTTGGCAGGGTAGAAGCAGTGCAATGGCGGAAACTTCTTGCAATAAACAGAGAAGTCTGCTGTTTGATGGTTGGGTTTTTATTATCCATCACTGCTAATACATCCTCACTAATGTTCTGTAATGTGGTCTTCAGAAAGAAAATGTGGTCAGTGTGAGCTTTTCTTGATTGTAAAGAATAGTCAAAATATCACATTAGCAAAATTTACTTTAGATAAAACCACAAACTCGTGCTGTCAACTTACAGTGAGGAAGATTGCATCAATTGCCTCTTGCAGGGCTTGCACCACTTGAGGCTTCTTCTCTTTGAATTTCTCCAAAATGGTTGGCACAACCTGTGAAAGTGAACAGTTTGAATACCATTTGCCAACAAAAAGGAATGCAGTACATGCTACAACATGGTTATTGATACATGACGTAACATGTGTACACATGCTATACTATAACATGGCTGGAACAAAAATTTCAAAATGATAAATGACTATATACTACATGAGTCCATTTATGTGACCTGTCAAATCTATAGAGAGGCGGTAGATTAGTGGTTGTCAGGGTCTAGCAGCTGTGTCTAACCCACAGCTCACTTTTTTTTTTTAACCCCTTTTTTGCTGAGTTTAGAGGAATTATCTTGGGTCCTTGTAAAGTGTCTAATATAGTTTCTATACATAAGTAACAATACTTCCTTTTAATAATTTTTTTATTATAACATTTAAAAAAGTGCCACAGTTTAGACAAGACTGTAGAGAAGGGAAAAATTGGAGTAATTGCTAACAGGGTTTTTTTGAAGGTGCTTAAAAAGTTCTGCAACTGGACAGTGGTTGTAGTTAACCTTGCAATTACACTGAAACATATACTTTAAGAGCATGAACTCTATAATAGTTATCCCTCAATTAAGCTGTTAAAACAATGACTTTGGTTTTATTAAAACAAACAAAAATTTAAACATTTAAAGTCTGTTATGGCTTGTGTTCAGTCTCCCCAAAGCCTCATGTGGTCACAGGAGGGGCTTTTTCAGAGGTGGCTGGATCTAGAGTATGTGATGCTTGGATCAAGGGTGTGTGATTACTAAATCAGTCCACTGATTAGTCTGGCATAGTTCTGGGTGTGGATAAGGGACAGGCCCTCCCTGGGTGAGACTGCTACCTACCCTAAGGGCGTATAGCCTGGAAAGAATACAAGGGACAGAAAAAAGGCTGTTGCTGTTGCTTGCTGGTTCTTCACTGCTTTGTTGTCTTCTGCCTGCCACGAACTGTTTCTCCTCTGCCGTGTGCCACCCTGACTTGGAGCCAGCCCACTATAAATTGAAACCTCTACAAACTGTGACCCCAAATCAACCTTTGCTCCTTGAATTTTGGGAGTCAGGTTGAAGGGGAATTAGAAATTTTAAATAAAGGCCCACCAAAAACACTTGTCAAAACCAAGCAGACATACCCAAAGAAAGCCTGATAACAGAACACTTCTTCCTTTGTGTAACCTCTGTCTTTATTGTTTTTGTGTAACTGATGGCTTGCAATGTAACTTGAGACTGATGATGGCCTTGCAATGTAACCTGAGATATTTAAACTCCCTTGACAACCTATAATGTCACTCAGCTCTCCAATTATAATGCACCTAATCTACTGCTATACCTTCCATTTGTTCTTCCCTTAAAAGCCCTGCAACCATGCCAGGTGGGGCTCTGACTCTTTGGGGAGTGATCCTAGTCAGGCTCACTGGTGTAATAAAATTCCTGTCTCTTAGACCTTGGTGCTGTGCCTTCCTGTGTCTGGTCTGTTTTGCTGTAATAAAGCATTTTGTCTCAGAAACAAAAAAGTAACTAAAACAATGTTCAGTAAAAAATTAATTCCGTTCTTGAAAGGCAAAAGAATCTTACATGAGAATAGAGTTCTCATTCTGTCCCACTAAACCAATGTATCAACTTATTTTCTGTTTCTACATCCTGTATGGGGGCATATAATAACCATTTTCATCAGTGCCATCTCTCATTTTATTAATGAGTTGTAGGAGGATTTAGGGTTGGGAATAAGGTATAGTACATAATTCTCTCAACCCAAGATGCTGATGTATCTCACTGCAGTGTGATGTCTATCTCCTCACTACATCAAAGAAAAACTAGAAAGAGTATCAGAAATGGTAACAATTTGTGATCAGAAGTATATCTTCATATTCAAGTACTATCTTTTTTTTTTTTTTTTTAAGTGTTTTAGTTTTTTTGAGGCAGCATCTCACTGTGTAGCCCAGGTTGGCCTCAAACTCAAGGCAATCCTACTGCCACAGCCTCCCCAGTACTGGGGTTATAGGTGTACACCACCATTCCAGGCTTCAAGTACTATCTTTAGCAAGTAAAGTTAGAATTTTTATAATTTTAGTTTTATCTTCTAAACTGTTGCAAAATTAAATATTAACATCTAAGGTATGTAACAGTGTCAGGCACTGTGTTAGGAGGCACACTGAAGAGATGCTTTCTGCAGGGCGTGGTGGCGCAGGCCTGTACTCCCATTATTTAGGAGGGCTAGGTTAAGGACAACCTGGGCTGGATAGCAAGACCTTACTTCTAAAAAAATAAATAAAATTCTGAGATAGCAGAGACTGAACCCAGGGCCTAGCGTGTGCTAAGCATGTATTCTACCACTGAGCAACACCACCAGCACTTTTTATTTTTAAATGCATTTTAATTACTTTAAGACAGGGTCTTGATAAAGTTGCCCAGGATAGCTTTGAACTTGCAATCCTCCTGCTTCAGCCTCTCAAGTGACTGGAATTACAGTTGTGTGCCAGCATGCCTAGCCCAAGTTTATTTATACAGTACTAGGGATTCAATCTAGGACCTCTGCACAGCTATATCCTCAGTCCCTGCTCCTTTCTTTTGAAACAGAGTCTCACTATGCAGTTCAGGCTGGCTTTGAACTCACTACATAGCCTCAGCAGGTCTCAAACTTGTGGTGATCTTTCTGCTTCAGTCTACTTGAGTGTTAGCACTATAGGTATGCTCCACCACACCTAGCCCCTAGTCCTTTTCATATTTCTGACACAGAGCCTCAGTTAAGTTGCCAAGTTGCCCAGGCTGGGCTCGAACTTGTGATCCTCTTGCCTCAGCTTCCCAGAGTGGTGAGACTACAAGCATGCACCACTACACCCAGTTTCCAAAGTTATTTTAGAGGTTCAAAAGATATAGTAAAGCCAATGGCACTCCCCCCTCCCCAGTTTATTTTCCGTATTTCATAGAAGTGGTACAGACCAGAAAGAATATGGTTCCCATAAGAAATATAAAGGAATTGTTAATGCCAGTAGTTAGTTATAAGCTTGAAATATTAAGGGAGTATATTGGCTATAAAGCTAAAGTTTACTTTTGTAAATATTACCACAAAGATAACTTATAAATAACTAAACACTAACATGTCTGATACTACATATATACATTACAGTTTTGAGGGAAAAAAACTCTTGAATTACAGAGTACTAAAGGCAACTTAAAGCTTAATGATAAAGTGTGAAACGAATCCAGAATCAGATTTCAAACTAAGGTCAAAGTAATCATCTAATCACTACTTAGTAAGGTAAATTGATTTTAAAAATTGTTTTCTTTTTTTTTTTAATTGTTCTCTACCTTGAAGTTACTCCTATTACAAAAATATAGGGGCTGGGGATTTAGCTCAGCGGCAAAAGCGCCTGCCTGGCAAGCGCAAGGTCGTGAGTTCAGTTCCTGGTACCGGAGAAAAACCAAAAAAAAAAAAAACAAAAAAAAAACTATCCCAAAATGCAACATGAAGCTGACCAAAAGTTAATATACTGATATTATATATATAATATATATATAGAAATAAATATTTACTACTATAAAATAGATTCCAAGCTGGGCATAGAGGCACATGCTTATAATCCCAGCACTCAAGAGGCTGAGGGAGAAGGATTACTGCAAATTCCAGGCCAGCCTGGGCTACATAGTGAGTTCAAGGCCAGCCTGAACTATGTAGAGAGAACCTATTTAAAAAAAAAATTAAAGTTTTGATTCAATATATCATTTACATGTTTAAAGGACTTATAGACCTTTATTTTTATTTTTTAACTGCTAGGCTCAAGCAAGCCTCCTGCCTCAGCCTCTTAAGAAGCTGGGAATACAGGCATGCCCCATCATGCCAGACATCAGACTTTATTTTTACTTCCCTGATAATGAGTCAGTCATGATTTATTTTTATTTGGTAGTATCTCTTGTTCAGTTAAGTTCTCTGAGATTATTTTTAATGTTATGAGTAAGCCAGCTCCAAATATCATAACGCAAGTATGGCTAGATATCACCTATATTCTATAAAACACACATGATGAGGGACAAGGGGACCCTTGAGTCAGTCTAGGAAATCAAATGTTCAAGTGACTAGGCAGTTAAATTCCAGAGTTCAACATGATCAATTTTCAGGATACTACGCTATTCTAAGTAATTCAGACAAGATTTAGAGGCCAACTGATAGCTGCCATGGTTAAAGAAAACACCTCAACTTATACACCCTATTACAAACTTGATTGCCACTAAACTTATTATACAGTACCAGAAAATAGTATATACAACAAATGTCTCCCAATGAGTTATACCCCAGCCCCTGGCTACTAAAATTTTACTCCATCTTTAAATTATACATTATTGATTAATCAATGGATCACAGAAGTAATCAGAGAAGAAAAATGTTTCTAGAATCAAATAATGGAAGCACAATATGCCAAAACCTATGGGACATAATCAAAACTGTTCTAAGAGGTAATTTATAGCTGTGAACACACACACAAAAGCATAAAGCAATCCCAAATAAATAACCTACTGATGCATCTTTAGGTTCTAATAAAACAAGAATAATCCAAAGCTGAAACTAATAAAGAAAAATTATAAAAGGTCATAACAGAAATTTGTGAAATTGAGACTTACAAAAAAAAATTCAGAGGATCAGTCAAAGAGCGGTTCTCTGAAAGGACTGGAAGAGGATCAGGGCATTTAGGAAGATGAGACAGAGAAAAGGTGAAGAGGAAATAAAAAGGATCAAGACGTAATATGTATATCTACCAATTCCCCTGTGAAGAATGAATTTACTATTACCTCAAACATATACTAATAAAAAATGGGGAAATTTTTATTCCATCTTGTATATTGCATACAGTTGTAAGAAACAAAGCAAAATACTAATAAGGAAATTAGTAGTAAGCAAATAAATCAACCCAAGTACATACGTTAGGCCAAATGCCTGATTTTATACATAAACCTTATGAATTTTTTTTTTTTTTTTTGGTCTTTTTGAAACAGGGTCTCACTGTGCAGTTCAGGCTGGTCTTGAGCTCACCTTGTAGCCGAGGCTGGTCTCAAACTCTCAATGATCCTCCTGCCTCTGCCTCCCACATGCTGGGATTACAGGCATGCACCACTACGCCTGGCTAAGGCTCACAGACATTTTAACTGAAATTTGTGAGGAACTATATTGCACATTATACAACTTGATAAGAACTTACTTTGCCTGATATATATAAAATCTATGCCAAAAAGTTGTTTTAAAATATAATGCAAACTAGTCTGCTACTTTTGGCAATTCTGTAAATTTGAATCTAAAAAGAAGTATTACTTACATGTCCTGCATATTGTCCAAATTTCTTCCTCAGCCCAACAGCCAGGCCAGTAAGACATTTTGCTGCCAGGGCTACCAACATGACATTGGTATCTTTTCCAACAACCTAGAAAGGAAGAAAAAGGAAAATAAGATAGTCACAACCCTATAGAAGGGTCCTGAAAAACATTCTCAAAACAACTCTGAAAGCTACTATGCTAATGGATGACCCATTTTTATTTCCTAGAAAAGAGGAAAACTTATTCCTCTTTGATAATAATGAATCTAGAACCCTTTATCATGCTCAGTCTATCTTCAAGTTCTAGCATAAAGCATACATGAAACAACAACTTCCAATAGCTAACACTTCAGTGGCGGCAATCTGGGCTGTTACTCTCACACAGCTGCAGGAGGTGGCTCTGATAATGGCATAAAACCTGGAGGTCTACTGATCTTCTTTTGGAACAAGAAATTCAAAAGAGTATACTCAGTACCACAGGGCCCAACCTAGGTACCACAACGTGTAATATTTACATCCAAGAAGCACCGATGGAAATTTTGAAGTCCAGAACTGAAAATTACAAATGCTTCGAAGGGAGGACCTGGCTTTGCAGTTGCCACTGTCGTCACACCATGACTGCCAAATTTTTAGCAGGTTCTCCTCCAGTGTTGCTCATAGTACTAAATCAGCCACTATCCACAGGGAATTGTCCAAGAAATTATGGGGAGAAGGGCATCTTATAAATGAAAGACGTATAACCTCTGAGAAAAAGAAAGCCCACAGAATATTGAAAGAAGACAAATAATTTCAGAAATCCCAAAAGGAATTTAAAAATGGACAATTTTTTACGTTTACATTAAAAGAAAAAATGAAAAATTAGTAAGATTACTTGATTTAGACAATAGAGGGAAAACAATATGAATTGTAAAAAGACGAATTGGTCTGTATCTTATTCCTTAATATCGTTGTTTCCTTTCCATTTTTCCATATGTTACTGTGAAGTCAATATGAAGTTTGCATATCTGTACGTGCACATAAATAAAATCGAATATAAAAACTGAAATGTATTTCAGATTAATTCATACAACTGAAAAATTCAGTGTTTTAAATATTTTATCCACAAAATTAACTCTCTTTACTTTCAGCTTTTAAGTGATTCGCTCCACTCCACCATATGAAAAGAAAAAGAAGTTTCTATGGCTGCCTAGATTTCCCAGACATCTACTGCGTCTACTCAAACAGTGTCACGGGCTGCAGCTGGAGCTCAGTGGTAGGCCATGTGCTTAGCATTCTCAATACCCAGGGTTTGAGCCTCAGTACCACAAACAAGGAAAAAAGAAAAGAAAAATAAAACCAATAGTTCTCTCTGTACATAAAATAGTAAGATTACATTTATAGTCATAATGTAGACAAAACTCACATAACTGTCTTTATTTGAAAAGCTAACAACCTAAAAAATGTGTGTAGAGAACACCTATTGCTATTAATGACAAGAATAAAAGCTATTTCTTAGTGTTCTCTCCTTCTCTCTTCATTTCTTCCTCCAGATCTCAGGTGGCTAACCCCTTTCCCTCAGGAAAATTGCTTTTTTTTGAGGGGTGGGTACGGGGAATTGAACTCAGGACCTTGTGCTTGCCAGGCAAGCGCTTGTGCCACTGAGCTACATCCCTGGCCCAGAAATTGCCTTTTAATGAATCTTACATGAGTCTATGGTCCTTCAATATAGAAAAGTGATGACTGAACAAAGATCTGACAAATCATGTTTTCCCTCAAGCCCCATCTGGAGGAAAGCATAAGAAAGCCAACTACTACAGTATTAAGAAATACAGGTGACTTTCATTAGTCATGGATTTGTACCAGTGCTAACATTTATTTATAACTCCAAATCAGTGCAATGGACCTTCCTGCTCATTCTCAGATAAATACAGAGCTGTAATAATCTATGTTGTCCAGTGTGCACGTCCCAGCTGGGCCAGGACAAGGCGATGTTCTGTTTTCCTCTTTGAGTTCTCACACTATAAACAAGTGTCATTTTTAGGGTCCACTGAATGCCACATTTTTTGCATTTCTGTGCTTTCTGCTGATGCAATGACCCACATGTACTGCTGGAGTGCTGCACAGTCTTTCTAAGTGCAAAAGGTCACAAGTGTCTCACAAAGAAAAACATACGCTCAGCAAGCTTCACTCAGGCCTGAGTTACAGTGCTGTTGCCCAAGAGTGCAGTGTTAATCAACTATATTAAATAAAATGTCTTCATATAGAATCCTCGATACATTTTTTAGAATTTAAAAATTACTGTTTTATTTAGTTTGGAGGGATGACTTTTCATTCTTTATTAATACATTGACTTTTATATGCGATTTTACTGCTTCTACAAACCTTCTTTAAAGCTTTTACTAAATCCGCATAATCTCCTGCTTCCAGTTTAGGGTTTTTCACTAGTACTTCTACAGCCTCCAGGGCTTCTTTTCTTTCTTGCCATTTTTTTGCCTCCTGAAAGACACAATATGAGTCACTTATACAACAGAAAATAAAAGAACAGAACAAAAGTCTATTTCTTGCACTCTACTAATTCAAAGACATATTTTTTTTTTGTTTTTGAGACAGGGTCTCACGATGTATTTCAGGCTGGCCTTGAACTTGCAAAACTCCTGCCTCAGTCTCCCAAGTGCTGGGATTAAAGGTGTATACCACCATGCCCAGCAAAGACAAAATTTTTGTTTGTTTTCAGAAATTTTTTCTAAAGTTAGTTTTAAAAAACTGCAAAGATATATAGCCAATCAGACTATTTTGTTCATATAAGTTTTGTTCACATGTAAAACGTATTTTCATAAGATTTCAAAGCCCTAAAGCAGTGAGGTCAAACCTATGGCACATGTGTCATAGTGGGCTATTTGTTTTCACTGAAAACTCTAAAAGGTTCATGATCACTACCCTAAAGTAATGTAAGTAAACAGAATGCCATACACTTCTATCTACTTATTAGGCAAATGTGTAAACAGATATCAAACAGAAACTATAAAAATAAAAAATAAAAATATTTCTAGCCTATCTCACAGTGGCACAATTATAGGAGAAAATGTTCTATACTTGACAACATTAGAAAGACCAAAAAAGAACAACCACATAACTAGCAACCAAAACTGTTCTAACCTTGAAGACTCATTTTCTGACTGTGAGTATAATTCTAATCATTTTGTTTTATGGCTATGCAGTAGAATGTGCTTCACCAGAGATCAAATAATCATTCAACAATTTAGACACTCACTATTTGAAAGAATGTTTCAAAGAAGATGACAAACTTGCCTCACTGGCTAAGACTATACTTCAATTCATCAAATATTTATTTGGTATAAAGAAGTTAACTAGGTACTCAAGGAGCAGATAGCACAGCTTCAAAGTCTTCACTAAATAATGCCCAGGTCACGATCCCTTGACAGAGAAGTGTGAGATGCATTGCTACAGACAGGGAGGATTTACCCTAGTTTAGGTAGCCAAGTGGGATCTCTCCTAAAAACTTTTTGCTTAAGATAAGAAGTACTATTAGGTGAATGCTGGAGGGGAATATTAAAGACAGAAAGAATAGCACTCAGTAAGGCCCACAGTTTAAAAAAATACAACAGCGCACCTGCTACAGGGAGAAGTCCAGAAGGGCTGAAACAACAGAGTGTGGACAATTAGAAACGTGGCTAGGGGGAACGTGGTGGCTTCAGATATGCCACACATATTTTTTCAGTGGCCATAAGATGACTTAAGACATCATCTTAAGACCCATGGAAGTATTCTCAGGAGACTGAAGGAGGAGGATCACCATGAGTTCAAGGCCAGCCTGGGCTACATAGGGAGTTCAAGACTAATATGAACTACATAGTGAGACCCTGTCTCAAAAACAAAACAAAACAACAAAAGCCAAACCAAAACAAAAAAACACCCATGGAAGCCATGGTGAGCTTTAATCAGGTTTAATAGGGAAAGATTTGCATTTTCAAAAATAATACCTCTGATTACATCATGGAATACAATCAAAAGCTGACAAGAGCTGATGGTGGTGATTAGGATAAGACTATGGGATGGTTCTGTCTCTCTGGGGTCATTTAAGAATGTCTGGAAATATTTTCGATGGTCATGGTTTGGTCATGATTGCACATTACTGATCCTAGTGGGAAAAGCTACAGATGTTGCCCAGTATCCTACAATACACAGGATGACTACACTAAAGCAGTTTTCTGAAGAAATTATCAGGAACCAAAGTCAAGAAACCTGGGCTGAAAGAGTGGCAGTCAGGATGGGAAAGAGTAGATGAATTTGAGACAGGCATTTTGAAGTGAAACCAGAGAATAACTAAGAAAAAGAAGGTGAGAATAATCTTCTGATTTTGGGCAAGACATGTAAAAAAGGTATCATTTGTATACATTAAAGTAGGAGCAAAGAAAAGGAAGTAACTTTCACACTGTGCTAAAGAGAAGATATGGATGGAGGTAGTATACCAGGCAAGTAATCTTTTAAAATGAAATAAATGAAAGAAGTTTAGCCATTACATACAATTTTGTCATAAAAGTCTTTGGGAAGTTTGGAAAGGATCTCTACTGCTTCCAAAAGCTCATATGCATCTATTTGTGGCACTTCATCACCATCGTCACCACCTTGAAGGAGAAAAACAAAACATTTAAAATGTATGGAAGGATTCTACTTATTAAACAGCTACCAGTCCTAGAGTGAAAAAAAACCCCACGAATTGGGAAAAAAAATTTAGCCAATTGTCCCTCAGGCAAAGGACTT